ACACACACACACACACACACACACACACACACACACACACACACACACACACACACACACACACACACACCCTTACTATATCCATAACAAGTGAGATTAGCAAGGTCCTAGAATACAAGATCAAGATGCAAAAATCAGACAGACACACACACACATCCTTACTATATCCATAACAAGTGAGATTAGCAAGGTCCTAGAATACAAGATCAAGATGCAAAAATCAGTCCCCTGTGATTTTTTTTTCCCCATTCCTGGAACGTGAACTCAGGCCTGGACACTGTCCCTGAGTTTCTTTTCTCGAGGCTAGCACTGTATCACTTGAGCCACAGTGCCACTTCTGGCCTTTTCTGTTTATGTGGTACTCAGGGCTTCAAGCATGCTAGGCAAGCACTCTACCACTAAGCCACTTTCCCAGCCCCCCTGTGATGTTTTATATGTACAAGCCAGTTCTTAAATGATCAAATGTAATTAAATTGTTTCTTTTTCTTCCTTGTAGGGGAACCTATGACATTTTAGTAACAAAAGATAACCAGACACGATCTGTTGGTCAGTATGACAACCGTGGCAGTTTTGGCGAACTGGCTCTGATGTACAATACCCCAAGGGCGGCTACCATTGTTGCCACCTCAGAAGGCTCCCTTTGGGGATTGGTGAGTGAGAGAAATGGTTCCTCTTGCATACACACTTTTAATTCTCCTTACTTCTGGGCCTCTGACCTTGGGCTGTTGTTTCATATTATCTGTTCTACATAGTCACCTGCACAGTATCATGAAAAGTTCCATGCAACGATATCTTCCCATTCATTCCAAATGATTTATCAACAAATCATTTACTAGAAGTTACAAAGACGTGACTATATCTTCTGACCTTGTAGGAATATACAGCTTTTACTGTATGTTCTATTTTGATCAGACAAGGGTAGAAAGAGGAGAATAACACTCCATACCAGCAGCGTGGAAATCTATATGGCTAGCCACAGCTGTAATCCCAGCACCTGGAAAGGTGCAGAAATAGAATTATGAATTCAGGGCTAACCTGGACTACATAGTGAGATTTGTCTCAAGAAAAGAAGCAGTAGCCTAGAAAAACAAATGTTTTAGAAAGATCTACTAATAGCACTTTCCTTTTTTTTTGGTGGGAGGGAGGAGTCATGGGGCTTGAACTCTAGGCCTGGGTGCTATCTCTGAGCTCTTCAGCTCAAGGCAAGCACTCTTGTCACTTGAGCCACAGTGTCTCTTCCAGTTTTCTGGTGTTCATTGGAGATTAAGAGTCTCACAGTCTTTCCTGCCTGGGCTGGCTTTGAACCGTGATTCTCAGATGTCAGCCTCCTGAGTAGCTGGGATTATAGGCATGAGCCACCAGCACCTGGCAGCATTTTCCATTTTGAAATGTCCCAGTACTAATTTGTCTCTAAATTCACCATCTACCTGTTCACTGTTCATGTCAATATTCAATAGATTTAGATGGAGTACTTTAAGAAGGCTGATGGGCATAGCCTACAAAATCTGTAAATATCTTAGGCAAAACATTACTTTGATCCCTGTATCCTATTATGCACGACCCACATTGTTTCTGCCAGCATCAAGATTTGTATCTCCAAGTTTGTTTTGTTTTGTTTTTGCTGGTCCTAAGTTTGAACTCAAAGCCTGGGCCCTGTCCCTCAGCTCTTTGACTCACGGCTAGCACTCTACCACTGGAGCCACAGCGCCGCTTCTGACTTCTTCTGTGATTAATTGAGATAAAAGTCTCACAGATGCCGGGTGCTGGTGGCTCAAGCCTGTCATCCTAGCTACTCAGGAGGCTGAGATCTGAGGATTGAGGTTCCAAGCCAGCCTAGGCAGGAAAGGCCGTGAAATTCTTATCTCCAGTAAACTACCAGAAAACTGGAAGTGGTACTGTGGTTCAGTGGTAGGATGCTAGCCTTGAGATGAAGTGCTGAGAGACAGCGCTCATGCCCAGAGTTCAAGCCTCATAACTGACCCAAAGGAAAAAAAAAGTCTCACAGACTTTCCTGCCCAAGCTGGCTTCGAACTGCGATTCTTAGATTTCAGCCTCCTGAGGAGCTAGGATTACAGGTGTGAGCCACCAGCACCTAGTTATATCCAAAATTTGTAACTCTTCTTAAAATCTCCTCTTGTACAAATTGCACATTTTACTTTAATGTTAAAATCAGCAGTAGCTTGCTTCTGTTTTATCTTAAAGGTAGAATTAAAATGTGTACTATAAAATTAACAACATATTTCCTCAATGAAGACACATGTAAAAGACATGAAAGAGCATTTTACTGTGACATACTAATATTGGAAATAGTGTTCCTGAAAGATAAGGGAAGGAGAGACACAGTGGCTTTAAAATAGATTATATGGGCTGGGAATGTGGCTTAGTTGCAGAGTGGTTGCCTAGCATGCATGAAGCCTTGGGTTTGATTCCTCAGTACCACATAAGCAGAAAAAGCCGGAAGTGGGGCTGTGGCTCAAGTGGTACAGTGCCAGCCTTGGGCAAAAGAAGCTCAGGGACAGTGCCCAGGCCCTGAGTTCAAGCCCCAGGACTGACCAAAAAAGAATAGACCACTCAAGTCAGGCACCAGTGGCTCACACCTGTAATCCTAGTTAAACAGGAGGCTGAGACTAGGTTATGCGTATTCAGCCCCTGGATAGCTAGGAGTATAGGGATGATCCATGAGTCCTGGCTCCGGGCTGTTTTTTCACACAAGCATGTCCATTTTCTCTCTTGTAGGATCGGGTAACTTTCAGAAGAATCATAGTTAAAAACAATGCAAAAAAGAGGAAGATGTTTGAATCATTTATTGAGTCTGTGCCACTCCTTAAATCACTAGAGGTAATTCTAAGTAAAAATCTGTTAAAACTATTCCTTCTCTATTGTGTCGATACTATGAAATTCAGCTAAGTTCTTTTCCTTATAATCTGTGAGTGTCTCTATTGTTTAGGTGTCAGAAAGAATGAAGATTGTGGATGTAATAGGAGAAAAGGTTTATAAGGATGGAGAGCGCATAATTGCTCAGGTAAGTAGGGCCTTTGCATTGTTCCCCTCCTAGAAGTCACCAGGTGAAGGGCTAGTGCATTACTTCTCTTATCAGATGAATGAGAACTAGATCCGTTGGCCTGTAATTCCAGCATTTGAGAGGCCAAGGCAAAGAGGTGTCCTGAGTTTGAGGCCAGCCTGGACTGTGGAGTGAGCCACCTCCATGTCTTCCATTGTTGGGAGCTCATTGCAAGGGAATAAGGCACAGTGCCCACGCAGTCCTTTGGTGTACAGCCCATTGCTCTGCATCTCCCTGAGATATTCAGACCTCTTGCTTCCACCCGCCTTCCTTGGGCTTTTAATTTCTGTTCTTTTAGGTATTTGAAGATCACCTTGAGTAATCTTCATTCCTTACTGTTAAAACCTGAATAAGATGGGGAAATTGGTGCCCTCTACCTTCTCTCTGTTTGATATGAAGACATCCTGTTGTCTAGCAACAGTTCTTAGATTTCTGTAATTAACTAGCCTAATGTCTTTTCTGTTTCCTCTGTGCCTGTTTCTCATGTTATTTTTTGATTCTGAAAGAAACACCAGCCTAATCTATTGTAATTAATTCTTTGTAACCATAGAAGCGGCTCATATCTGTAATTCTACTCAAGAAGCAAAGGTGCCGGCTGCCAGTGGCTCACACCTGTAATCCTAGCTACTCAGGAGGCTGAGATCTGAAGATCACAGTTTAAAGCCAGCCCAGGCAGGAAAAGTCCATTAGACTCTTATCTCCAATAAACAACTAGAAATTGGAAATGGCACTGTGGCTCAAGTGGTAGAGCTCTTGCCTTGAGCTGAAGAACTCAGGGACAGGCCCTGAGTTCAAGGTGCAGGACTGCCCCCCCAAAAAAACAAAAATTCCCATTAGTGCTGGGTACCAGTAGCAGACACCTATAATCCTAGCTACTCAGAAGGCTGAGATCTCAAGATCACAGTTCGCAGCCAGCCCAGACTCTTACCTCTACTAAACTACCCAAAAAGCCAGAAATTAAATTGTGGTCCAAGTGATAGAACATTAGCCTTGAAGCAAAAGCAGCTCAAGGACAGTACCCAGGCCCTGATTTCAAGCCCCCCAGGACTGGGGGGGGGGATCCAATCGGAACTAATAAAAAATGGTGTCTAAATAACATCTCAAAATGTTCTGTTAATTCTTTTAAATTTGCCTCAGCTTCCCTGTGTAATCCTGGCACTTAGAAAGCTGAAGCAAGGTGATTAAAAATTCAAAGCCAACCTAGGCACATACCAAGATCCTGCCTGTCTCAAAAATAAATAATAAACTGGATGCTGATAGCTAACACCTGTAGTCCTAGCTGAGATCTGGGGATCATAATTTGAAGCCAGCTTGGGCAAGAAAGTTCATGAGGCTTATTTCCAGTTAGCTACCATAAAGGCAAAAGTGGAACTGTGGTTCAAATAGTAGATCGTCAGATCTTTAGCAGAAAATATCACTGGGCGCTGGTGGCTCACACCTGTAATCCTAGCTACTCTGGAGGCTGAGATCTGAGGATCAAGGTTCAAAGCCAGCCCAGGCAGGAAAGTCTGTGAAACTCTTATCTCCAGTAAACCACCAGAAAAGCAGAAGTGGCGCTGTAGCTCAAGTGGTAGAGCACTAGCTTTGAGCTGAAGAGCTAAGGGACAGCACTCAAGCCCAGAGTTCAAGCCCCACGACCGACAAAAAAAAAAAGTGAGCATGTGAGGCACAAGTTCAAGCCCAGGACCATCACCAAAAAAAAAAGAAAAAAGATTATCTCTGAATCCCAATCTCCCAGAGTAGACACAGTCACACTTTTATTTTATTGTTAGTTGTGGATCTTTAACTCAGGGCCTGGGTGCTGTCTCTGAGCTCTTTTTGATCAGGGCTAGTGCTCTACTAATTTGAGCCACAACATCACTTCCAGTTTTCTGGTAGTTCATTGGAGCTAAGAATCTCACAAACTTTCCTGCTTGGGTGGGCTTTGAACCACAATCTTTAGATCTCAGCCTCCTGAGTAGCTAGGATGACAGGCGTGAGCCACCAGCTCCCAGCTCACCTTACATTATTGAATAGCAGTCTTGGTTACTAGTCTTTGATTATCACAGGTTTAAATAGGAAACCAACCTGAGAGTCAGAACAGCAATGCTCTGTACAGTTGGTAGCCTGGGTGTATTCCAAGGAGAAGGTGAATACTTAAGATGTGTCAGTCATAGTTGGGTTCATGCTCTTAGTGATCAGAATTTTCAAGTTTTATTCTGAATTTGTATTTTTCTTTTTTTTGGTCATGGGGCTTGAACTCTGAGTGCAGTCCCTGAGCTCTTCAGCTCAAGGCTAGTTCTACCACTTGAGCCACAGCGCCACACTTATTCTGAATTTGTTAGCCATTGATTCACTTGAAAGGTTTAGAAATAAATACAGATGAAGCCCAGGCAGTGAAAAAGTTTATTTTTCTGGTTCTCTTCAGTGCTATGTATTGCTCTGACTTGACCTCTTTTCCTGCAGGGTGACAAGGCTGATAGTTTTTTCATCATAGAATCTGGCGAAGTGAGCATTTTGATAAGAAGCAAGGTGAGTTTTTGTGTGGTGATGTGACGGTGGAGATTATTTACTTTAAATAATCTGAACTGTGTTTTGTTCTATCAAAACGTCATTAATATGTGACTGCCAGAGGCCCACCCATGTTTAAACCCATTCATTAATACAGATGTAGAATATTTAAAGCCCGGTACCAGTGGTTCATGCCTGTTATCCTAGCTGCTCAAGGGGCTGAGATCTGAAGACGGATGTTTAAAGCCAGTCTGGGCAGGAAATTCCATGACTCTTTATCTCCAATCAACCAAAAAAAATCCAGAAGTGGAGATGTGGCTCAAGTGGTAGAGCAGTAGCCTTTAGCACAAAAGCTCAAGGACAGTGGCCAATCCCTGAGTTCAAGCCCTACAACTGGCACAAGAAGAGAAATTTTGTCATCCATTAGGAACGGCCAAGTGGTAGAATGCTTGCTTAGCACATGTAAGGCCCTGAGTTCAATCCCTAGTACCATGAAAAAAAATGTGTAAGACAGGTACAGTCTCAAATGGGCTGGGAAGGTGGCTCAGTGGTAGAGTGCTTGCCTTGCATGCTCAAGGCCCTGGGTTCGATTCCTCAAGCACCACATAAGCAAAAAGAAAAAAGCCGGAAGTGGAGCTGTGACTCAAGTAGTAGAGCACTAGCCTTGAGCTGAAGAGCTGAGGGACAGCGCCCAGGCCCAGAGTTCAGGCCCCACGACCGGACCTCCCAAAAAAAATACTCAAAATGAGTCAAGGGCTGGGTGCCAGTGGCTCACACCTGTAATCCTAGCTACTCAGGAGGCTGAGATCGGAGGATCACAGTTCAAAGCCAGCCCAGGCAGGAAAGTCCATGAGACTCTTATCTCCAATAAAACCACTAGAAAACCGGAAGTGGCGCTGTGGCTCAAGTGGTAGAGTACTCGCCTTGAGCTTAATTGCTGAGGGACAGCGCCCAGGCCTAGAGATCAAGCCCCATGACGGACCAAAAAAAAAAAAAAGAGTCAAGGTTGTGGTTTGTAATATATGAGAAGATTGTCATTATTTAGAATTAGCAGAAGACTATGGTTTTTCTATTGCACCTCAGTAGTCTGCATCTCTAGAAGTATGTATAATTCCCAGAAAATGTTCTGGGAATGAGAATGTGGCTTAGTGGTAGAGTGCTTGCCTCGCATGCCTGAAACCCTGGGTTCCATTCTTCAGTACCACATACACAGAAAAAGCTGGAAGTGGCACTGTGGCTCAACTGGTAGAGTGCTAGCCTTGGGCAAAAAGAAACTCAGGCCCTGAGTTCAAGCTCCATAAAATAGCAAATAATAAAAATAAATAAATAAGAGCCAGGCATTGGTGGCTCAGCCTATAATCCCAGCTATTAGGAGGCCAAGATCTGAGGATCGCAGTTCAAAGCCAGCCTTGGCAGGAAACTCAGTGCAACTCTTATCGCCAATAAACTACCCAGAAAACCAGAAGTGGCACTGTGGCTCAAGTGGTAGAGTGCTCGCCTTTAGCTGAAGAGCTGAGGGATATCCCACAGGCCCAGAGTTCAAGCCCCATGACCAACAAAAGAAAAAGAAAAAAACTGGTCTGTACCTTAGCTCTTGATGGGTATTCATTACCTAAAAGATGTTAAGACCTGGAAGGAGCCCCAGGTAAAATCCATGGGGTTTCCATGGTAGAGTTTCTGAAAAATTTGAGTGCATGTAACTGGCCATGTCCAACTTTAATCCAGGTCATCTTCTCTTTCTGCTGTAGACGAAAACAAGCAAGGATGCTGGCAGCCAGGAGGTTGAGATTGCCCGCTGCCATAAGGGGCAGTACTTTGGAGAGCTTGCACTGGTCACCAACAAACCCAGAGCGGCTTCAGCATACGCAGTTGGAGATGTCAAATGCTTAGGTAAGAAAATTCTCTCTTTTCCTAATGTGCAGTGTTGTTTTCCTGTCAGTAGCTTTAACTTACTCTGTCAGTTCTCACTTGTATCTAGGCCTGGGCAGTTTGACCAATCAGAAATGAATGTCTTTTTTTTTTTTTTAAATTTTATTGTCAAGGTGATGTACAGAGGGGTTACAGGGCTGGGAAGGTGGCTTAGTGGTAGAGAGCTTGCCTAGCATGCATGAAATCCGGGGTTCAATTCCTCAGTACCACATACACAGAAAAGGCTGTGGCTCAAGTGATAGAGTGCTAGCCTTGAGCAAAAGAAGCTCAGGGACAGGGCTTGAGTTCAAGCCCCAGGACTGGCAAAAAAAAAAAAAAAAACAAGACATGCAAACAGGTGGCTTCTAGACTCGTTGACCCTCAGATAACACAGACCTGCTGTGTTTATATAGAAACATCTCTCTTCCCACCCACCAGTACCCACTCTCCCAAAGCCTATAATCTCCTACCACATGGGGATATGTACAACAAAGTCTCTATGAGGAAAATGACTCCAACTATTCATTGTATCTCTCCTTCATCTCTCCTCTTCACGATGCAGTTATGGATGTTCAAGCATTCGAGAGGCTTCTGGGGCCCTGCATGGACATCATGAAGAGGAACATCTCAAACTACGAGGAGCAGCTGGTGAAGATGTTTGGCTCCAACATGGATCTGGTTGACCCCGGAGAGTAGCCATGCCACATTCCCAGAGCCTTCTCAGCGTGACACCAACATCTTCTGGTCAGCCACAGAACACACACAGAAAAACAGACACGACAGAACTGTTCCTGCTGTTACCATGGCCGCTGCCATTGCTGTGGTTACGGGCATTTAGACAACTTGAAAGTCAGCACTAAAGGATGGACAAGAGGTTCCACCTCCACCTCCACTTTGCTTCTGAAAAGCCCATTAGACCACTTGTAATGATTACTCCAACCCAGTTTTCACATCTTTGGTTCAGAATGGCATGTCTCTCCAACAAATTTTAAGTGCCTGATAAAAAGTCCAAAGTGTAAAACATCCTCCTTTTCCTCTCTCGCTGCTACTATTGCTTTTTTGGAAGTTACTCACAGTTCTGCAGAAACCTGTTAAATAACTTTAGACACCTTCTTCTTCCCATCTTTCTTAAGGGAGGAACTGTTGTAGCTTTCAATCTCCTCATCTGTCTTTTGAGAAAGTCCCACAGTTGGTTCACTGTTGCTGCTTTTGGTTTTGTAATGGAAAAGGGCAGCACCTGTCATGGAGGTCCATGGTCCAGCGTTGTTGTACTGTCTGCTGACAGCTGCACACCTAACAGCTGTCTGTCTCCAAGCCCTCAGTGATACTTAGCGAAAGACCCTGTTAGAGGGCCCTAGCAAGTCAGTACTCCAGAACAGATTAAAAAGTCACTAGGGCCCATGGTAGAGCAGTAAATTTGGAATCAGTGCATTGAGCCAGGAAAGGTTTTCTGGGTTTTGTTTTGGTTTTTTTTCTGTTGTGTTTTAAACAGATTTTTATTTTGTTTAATCTCCATGTAGTTTGCATGAACAGATGTCTGAGGAGCCAACGGTACCAGTTAGCTCAACTGGCTAGAGAACCAAGAAGCCAGGGTCTGGAGGTGTCAATGCTTTCTCTGACCTAAATACTTGGCTGCCACTTCTCAGTTCCTATTGCTGCTTCTGGTTAAGGGCAGTACACTGACAACAGGTTTTGCGACACAGAGAGCCCTTTCCTTCAACTTCTGAGTTCATTGTTGCATAGCTTGGCTATGGATCATCCATTTTTTTCAACTCTTTAAGAAAGTTATTTTTAAAAAGAAACTATTGGTCTAGGGCATTCCCCTTGGACATATTAGTATATGTGGAGTTTATCAGCTGACTCAGGCATTCATTGTAAAAATTGATTTGTTTCAAGAAATTGGCTTCATTAGAGGTGTATCTCAGTGGTAGAGTGCTTTCCTAGCATGTGCAAGGCCCTGGGTTTGATCTCCAGCACTGAAAAACAAAAAAAAACTCACTTACAGAATTACTGTGAAGTCCCTTCTAGTCAAAATGTTGGGATAGGTGGCATTCTATCTGTTAATCCTCAAGGAACATAATTTAGATAGTATTTAAACTTTTTAAGCCTTTTAATTTATATTAAGTAGAATTCTAATCATTTTAATAGCTACAGTTTAGAATGAAAATTTTTTCCCTCAGAATGACAGGTTCAGAGGCTACAAGGGATCCTATAAATAATGTGAAATTTGCACAAATTCAAATATTGTAAGCCAAATTTATATTAGCTCAATAGACCCTCTCCACTATGATTCTTTTCTTGATAACATGTTCATTTCTCAGTAAATCCTTAAGCAATTATGTGCTGGAGCTTGAATCATTCCTGATATTGATAATGATGGAGCCCATTATAATACCATCATCATCCATGTAAGACTGTCTGCTTTTGCCATGGACACAGTTGCCAAGAGATTTCAGAGTGGGTAGCCCCCCCCCAACTTGGTAATTCCTCCTCCTTTCATGTGTTCCATGAAGTAAAAGCAAGACTCTTTCAGACTGCCTCCCTTGCAACTTTTAGAATCTTGAAAGGCTATAACTAATACTCGAAACCAGGCAGCTGAGCACTGGGAAAACCCAGGCAGTAATCCTACCTTTTCCTAAGGGTCTTCTTTTCTATCGTGTTGCTTTATTCGTCAATAAATTCAGAAAGTAGACCTTGCACTTTGACAAGAAGCATTCCTGTTTTTTGTAATGAGGAAAAAGGTACATTAGGCTTCAGGAGTAACACAAAAATCCAGCCCCAAACCTAGTAGGGACTATATAAAAAACATTGAGCAGATAACCCCATCTCTACCCTCAATGCCAGCATTGGTTAGGGCTGGCTCTGAATCTTGTGCCAGTTACTCCTGCAGACTACAAGGGATGGGCCTTCTCATCCTGCTCCTCCCACATCCCAGTTTTCAGTCTAGTCTTCCCATTCAGAGTCCTCCCTGACACCCCAGGTTTGCTAATGGTTGCTGTTTTACAGAGTAGAATTCATAAGTGACAACAGGTCATCAGTCTAGAATCCTCACTTGGAAGCAGGAGACCTGTGGTGGGTTGAGCCAAGAATACATCAAGCTTGAGGAGAGAGGAGAGGAGACATTCAAGAGAATAATGTGAGTAAAAAAAGACATAGCCATAGCACCATGCCAGGACCTGACAGTGTTCCAGTTCTTTTTCCAGCTTGGAGAGTCAAAGATGGCAAACCCAAGTTTGAAGATGGCTGAGGTGTCTACATTGTGCCAGGCAAAGCCCTCCATTTGATGATTTAGCCTCTCAAGAAGGAGCATATGTTGGGAAGAGATTCCTTGTTAACTGTTTCATGTTCTCTTCTAAAGGTTAGAACTTTACCTCTTCTTTTCTGACTTTATAGTCTTTTTTTTTTTTTTGATGAGAAGAATATTCCAAAGGTCCATGAGGTCCAACCTGCAGTATTGTTCTTCCTTTTGGTCCCCAGATACCCCACTCACTCTAGTGATTAAATTCTCTGAAGAAAGGGTTTATGTATTTGTATCCTCTTAGTTCACAGTCTTCATGTATAATTATATGTCACTGCTGTAGATGGCCAGAAATCAGGGTAGAGCTTTTTTTTTTTTTTTGAGCAATTTCATGAGCGAATTCAGCAGCAAAGTGGCAAGAAAAGTTTCTCCAGCTAGAGAATCTGATTGCCAAGACTCACAATAAGAGTAGTCAGAGATGCTATTGATACCCAGTGACACTCATACACAGCAGCGTTTTGTGGTGTGTCACAGTGTATGAGCAATCTTTTGTCATTGAGGGAAAAAAAAAGTGCAGATACTTTGCACAGAGAGAAAGGAGAAGGATCTATGAATGTCATCTTTCGTCTTTTCTGTTTCAGTTGGTTGATGTTAGAACTTTGTTTTAACATGCACTTGTAAACCATTCTTGCCAAGATCTGACCTTTTTTTTTGTTTTCACCACTACCATTACCTCTTGTTCCTCCTGTCTTGATTGCTGACGATCCTCAGTGACTCTAATGTCTATTTTATGGGAAACAGCCTTCCCATGGGTTTCCTTTTACACACTGTAGGGCTATCTTTATACTTTAAAACAATTTAAAAAAAAAAGGATGAAAACTGTCAGTAACCTCATGAGGTATTTGCAGAAAATCATTTAGCCCACCTTGAGTAAAGGATAGATTCCTCTTTTGTTGTTGTTGTTGTTGTTGTTTTTAAGCTCACTGTAATTAAAGAAACCTAATTCAGCATTATTGTGCTACCTCAAAGGTTAAAAAAAATATATTTTAAGATCATCTTTTGGTCCTAAGTTCCACACACAGTGTTTGAAATGTCTTTCAATTGGAATTATTTTATAAATTGTTGGGGGTAAATCTTATTTTAACCTATTTTACACTTGTATTTTAATCTTAGAAGAAAAGGGGTTAGAAAGCAAACAAGACTTGCTCTGTGGTATTGAAAATATAGTTTAAAGTCATTAAGAGTTAAATCGTTGTTTGCCATAAAGAAGCTTGAGGTTTTGGTTTTTGGTTGTTTTTGTTTATGTTTTTTAAAGGAAACTCTAGGGCTTGGCTTCACTCTTGGTTAATAAAGGCTGACAAATCCTGTGTGACTTCTTGGTCTTAGTGTCTTCTGTCTTGTGTCATATTTTTTCTCTTTTAGATTCCAAGGCCTGTTAGTCCTCATCTAACAGTACACTGTAGAATTAGTCTATAAGCCCTTGAAAAGTAGAGAAAGACATGAACATGTGCCCTAGTCAGGGTTCTACAGAGAAGCAGTCATGGAGGAGAGGTGCATTTGTAACGAGGAATTGCCTCACATGAGTATAGACAGGCAGGCAACATTTCAGAATCTGCAGGGGTGAGTTATACAAGCTGGAGACCTAGAAGTGGCATAGTTTAATTCTAGTCCAAGTCCAAAAGCCTGAGAGATAGCAGAGCTAATGGTTTAATTCTTGTCTGAAGGTCAACAGAAAGAGTTGATGTTTCTATTTGAGGCTGTGAAGGCAGGAAAAAAAGCCAGTTCAAAGGTAAGTCAAAAAGGGACGTTCTGTCCTGCTTAAAGAAGCTGAGCTTTTTTATTCAGGCCTTAGACAGTTTGGATTAGGCTCACTCACCCTTATTAGGGAGAACAATGCTTTCTTCAGTCTGTTAAATGTTTTACTTCTTTTTTTTTTTAATTTCCAGTCCTGGGGCTTGAACTCAGGGCCTGGGCACTATCCCTGAGCTGCTTTTGCTTGAAGGCTAGTATTCTACCACTTGAGCCACAGAACCACTTCCGGATTTTTCTGTGTATATGATACTGAGGAATGGAACCCAGGGTTTCAAGCATGGTAGGCAAGCACTCTACCACTAAGCCACCTTCCCAGCCTGTTTTACTTCTATTTTGTTTTTGATGGTACTAAAGTTTGAACTCAGAACCTCACACTTGTTAGGCAAGTGCTATACCACTCAATCCACACCTCCAGCCCCCAAGTCAAATATTTGTCATTCAAAAATGTTCTCGTTGGGGGGCTGGGAAGGTGGCTCGGTGATAGAGCGCATGCCTTGCATGCCAGAAGCCCTGGGTTCGATTCCTCAGCACCACATAAGCAAAAAGAAAAAAGCCGGAAGTGGCGCTGTGGCTCAAGTGGTAGAGTGCTAGCCTTGAGCTGAAAAGCTGAGGAACAGCGCCCAGGAAAAAAAAAAAAAATGTTCTTGTTGGGCCGGGCACTGATGGCTCACGCCTGTAATCCTAGCTACTCAGGAGGCTGAGATCTGAGGATCACAGTTCAAAGCCAGCCTGGGCAGGAGAGATCGTGAGACTCCTATCTCCAATAAACCACCAGAAAACCGGAAGTGGCGCTGTAGCTCAAGTGTAGAGTGCTCGCCTTGAGCTGAAGAGCTGAGGGACAGCGCCCAGGCCCAGAGTTCTAGCCCCACGACGGACCCAAAAAAAAAATGTTCTCATTGAAGTGGTGCTGTGGCTCAAGTGGTAGAGCGCTCGCCTTGAGCTGAAGAGCGCAGGAACAGCGCCCAAGCTCAGAGTTCAAGCCCCATGACCGACCCAAAAAAAAAAGACAAAAGAAATCTCAAAAATGTTCTCGCAAGCTGGACACCAGTGGCTCACACCTGTAATCCTACCTACCTAGGAGGTGAGATCTAAGGATCACTAACAATTTCCCTGGAATAGTCTTTCCTTCCTTTCTTTTCCAGTCGTGAGCCCTGAACTCTCAGCTCAAGGCTCAAGGCTAGTGCTCTACTACTTGAGCCTCAGTGCCACTTCTGGCTTTTTCTGCTTATGTGATGCTGAGGAATCGAACTCAGGGCCTCATGTATGCAAGGCAAGTACTCTACCACTGAGCCACCTACCTTCCCAGCCCCTGGAATGGTTTGATTCTCTCAGTCTCTGCCTCCTGGTAGCTGGAATTACAGGCATAAATCACCACATCTGCCCTGCTTTTCTCTCTGGGCTATTTCGTTGTTTTGTTAGTGTTGTTTTGTTTTGTCTCTTTATTAAATAAGTGTAAAATATACAGTGCCTCCCACAATTCTACCAAGCATCATATGCTCAGTTACAGAAGCATTCCCGTGAATGGAAATCTGTGAAAGGAAAAGAAAAAAGCTAGATTTGTGATTTGGAGGATGCCTACCACATAAAGATTCCTTAGAAATCTCAGGGCTGGGAACGTGGCTTCATGGTAGAAGGTTTGCCTAGCATGCATGAAGCCCTGGGTTCGATTCCTCAGTACCTCATACATAGTGCTGTGACTCAAGTGGTAAAGCACTGGCCTTGGGCAAAAGAAACTCAGGGACAGTGCCCAGGCCCTGACTTCAGCCCCAGGAATGGCAAGAGAGAGAGAGAGAGAGAGACTGGGTACCAGTGGCTCACGCCTGTAATCCTAGCTACACAGGAGGCTGAGATCTGAGAATCAT